GTCTATGAAATCTTTGCTTATTTAAAGTCATGGAGATGATCTTTTGCTTTTTTCCATAAGATTTATAGTTATAGCCTTTCCACATAGGTCTGTGATCCATTTAAATTTAATGTTTGTGTTTGCTATGTGAAATAGAATGGGAGATTCATGATCTTTCATATGGACATCCAATTGTACCTGTACTATTTGTTGGAAGGATTATTCCTTTCTCTTTAATTACCTTGTCACCTTTCTTAAATACCAATTTACCATCCATGTGTGGGTTTACTTTGGGCATTCCATTTTTCCTTTCATTGAATCTATCTGTAGATATACCTATTGGATAGGTAATACAACTGCGTGCTATTTCAAAATGATTTTAGTATTCTAGGTCTTTTACATCATTCCCATGTAAATTTTAAAATCAGCTTATCAGTTTCTAAGAAAATAAAGCCTTATAGAATTTTTATTTTATTTTACTGTATCTATAAATTGTTATGAAGAAAATTAAGGTCTTAATAATATTGAATTTTTGAGTTCATGAACATGCATTTTATAAAATTTATTTGAGTCATCTTTCATTCTTGTCATCAATGTTTAGTTGTTTTAGTTGTAGGCCTTGCACATATTTTGTTAAAATTTTCCTAAAGCTTTTTACATTTGTAGATGCTATTGTTAATGGTATTTTAAGTTACAATTTCCAGTTGTTCATTACTAGTAAATAGAAATAAAACTGATTTTTGTATCTTGACCTAGTATGCCAAGACCTTATTAAAGCTACTTCTTATATCTAGCAGCTATGTTTTTGTAGATTTCTCAGGATTCTCTTCATACATGATTATGCCTCATACTTGTATAGATTTATTTCTTCCTTTCAAATTTATCCCATTTCTTTCTTTTTTTTTTTTTTTTACAGCTAGGAACAAGTAGAATGCTCAACAGAAACTCTTAGAGCAGTTTCTTTTCCTCCCTTTTTCTTTCTAATAGGGTAAAACACTTCAATATTTCACCACTGAGTATGCTACTGCTTCAAGTTTTTTTTTTGTAACTATAATTTTCATACCATAGCCTATAACATTTCTGCATACAAGTCAGTTTATTTTATTTTCTTTGATATCAAGAACAGGTATATCCTTTCTGTGTTGCCTTTGAAATTGATGTCTTTAGTTTTGACTTGTAATAAATAATTTGATTATGATAAACTTTGGTATAAGCTGTATGCCTGTGTGTGTCTATGAAGAAGTGGTTTTGTGTATGGACTGAAGTGGGAGAAATCAAATGTGTATGCATACATGTGAAAATTTATCTCTTCACATTTCATTGAGATTCTTGAATATGTAAATGGACAAATAATTTGGGAAATATTTGGACATTGTTTATTGAAGAATTTTTTTCTGTCTCCTCCCATTCTGTAACTCTTATTACTGTTGTGATAAACTGCTTGAAATATCCTCCCGGGTCCTGAGGATCTTTATTTTTCCAGTCTTTATGTGTGTGTGTGTGTCTATGCATCAGTTTTGATGATTTCTGTTGCCCTGATTTAGCATTTACTTATTTTCTGCAGGTTTAATCTGTTCTTATCATATACAATTAAGTTCTGACATCAGATGTTATAGATTTCAGTCCTGAAAGTTTTAAACACATTTTTTAATTTACAGTAATACTTATTTTTCTTTACTAGCATATTTCAATAGCTATATTAAAAAGATTTTGTCTGCTAATTCTATAATTTCTGTTATTTATGCATCTGTTTCTGTTAATGGATCATTTTTCTGGTTATGGTTCAGATTTTACTGCTTTTTTTATGTGTCCAGCAATTTGTAGTTAGATGTTAGGTATTATAAATGTGCAATTGTTAAACATATTATCTGGGCTTCATTTTAAAAAGATTGAGGGCTTTTCACTCTAATGAAGCTTAATTTAATTTGACATTTCAAATCTTATTTTACAGTTTTGTGAAGGGAGTCTGGTTTACTGAGAGCTGTTGGCTTCTATAGAGCCTCAGGTGTTCTCTATGCATCTTTCATTAAAAAAGAATAGTTTGGAGTTTAAAATTTAGAAATTAATTTTAATAAATTTACAAATTAGTTTGGGAATAACTGATATCTTTATAATATTGTCTTGCCCCCTAAAATGTGACATATTTTCCCATTTATATAAATGGTGATTTTTATCCTTTACTTCCATATTTTCTCCAAACTCATGTTTCACATACATCATTATTTTCATGTGATTAGCAGAAAGTCTTTAACTGGCTAGTTGGGAATTGGGACACAGAGTGATTGTGACATTTATTTATAATAATCATTTCACATTTTTCAAAGCCTGTCATTTGTAACTTATGGAGGTACCTTCATAGGGTTATTGAAAGAATTTCTTTTTGGATGGGGGGAAAGCAGAGAAACTCAGCTTCAACTTTAATTCTCATCTTTACTAAATTTGATTTTGAATACAGCAATTAAGCCTTCATTATCTTTACCAATGTTACAGGATCCTGCAGGTCTTAAAAAGTTGTAAGGACTAATTGGAATAATGAGTATAAAAATACTCTAAAAATTTATAATTTATTAAAATGATTTCCAAGTCCAATAATAATTTTTATGAATAGTAAAATAATTTAAATATGTGACTTTAGAAATATAATTTTGTTAACAGAGGAGTAAGAGAAGTATAATTTTTTTAACCTTCTATTAAACTAGTTTTATTTCCAAAGGATGATATTGAAGGTAATGATTCAGAATGTCCAACTGAAATGTTCTGAAATGAAAATTTTCTTGACTTGATTACTGACTCATATTTTAAATTATTTGTATACATGTATATATGTATTCATTTCAATTAAAGCATTACTTAAGAGGGCTTAATTGTTCATTTATAAAAATATCGATGGTCTTATATTGTAGAAATCAATATATCTACTATAATTTTCTCTTCAGTCTTCCCATGTGAACAGAGATGCAAATATGACACTAATATCACAAAGCACAATATAATACTAAACTGGGATGCATTATTTTACTGATATATATTGAACATTGACTACCCTTGGTAAAGGCTGTATTAACTTTGTAAAGTTACTGGACTTTTCAAAGCATTTTCTTACGTGTGATTTAATCTATTCCTTAAAACATCTCCCTGAGCAGGTGGACATACTAGGTCTGATTCCATATGGAAACTCTATCTATATTTGTAAAATAAATTGCCATGAAATATCACTTGTGTTAAGGAGGCAAATTGTTTTGCTAAGATAATGCTTTATAAATTTTTCTCCCTCATTTTCACTTTTTAATATCATTGAGAATTTCTGATCATTTTGTTTTCCAAGCCTTATCAAAAAATTCACTGATTTTTTTAACAGTTGGTCCATGAAAATGGACTTGGTTATCACAATAATGGCATGGACTTATAGAATACATTGCTGAACTTAAGATTCCAGTTTTAAAATCTAGTGGTTTGGTACAAACATGTGGACAGCAAATTACTGTTGTTTTTATGAAAAGGTCAAAGTTTAATTAGGATTGTTTTGCAAAAGACTTCTTTTTTATATCACCTATAAAACAAAAGAAGAAAATTATGCATTTGAATGCAGGATAAAGGTAGAGGTAATACCCACAGCTGCTCTCCTATCTGGCAAACCATTCTGAAGGGTCCTGTTTCATTTGGTTCATATGACACACATGTTGCTCATTTATTGTACATGTGCTTCAACGAATTTTGACAAATTAGATCTAAAAATGTTACAGATGTTCCTTGTTATTTTAATTTGCACTTAGTAGCCATCAGTAAAATGTGGGTTTACACTGACTCTTTCACAATGTAATTTTAAAAATTCAGCTATCATAAATACATGATTTTTAATTCAATCATTTTAGTTATGTTTTCTTGATATAGTGAGTCATGTGCATTTAACAAGTTTTTTTTATCTGGTAATGAAGTCAAGTCTTTTAAAGAATGTTTCAAGTAATTTCAGGTTGATCTAAAGTCATTCCAATCCTGACTAATATCTTTTGAAGAGTCATACATTTTTTTTTAACTTATGGCTGGGGATAAGGCAGCAATATTATTAACTTGGTTACATACTAGAAATTATTCTCAAGATTAATCTATTCTTACTCAAGTAGAATTAATTTTAACACAATCCTCAGGTGATTTGTATGAAAGTTAGTTGAAGTTTGAAAAGTGTTGTTTTAAAGAACTAATGCTAGCATTCTTGTTTTATGTACTCATGTGCATATATATGAATCAAACCTGAAACTCTGTTTATATAGATATAGAAAATGGACTGGACCAAATTTTAAGAATTTTTTTATTATTTAATGTACTAAAAAGTTATTCCAATCAATATTTTCCACAAGTTTTGTTTTCTGTCTTTCATGAATCCAAAACCTATATTGGTTTGCCATATGTTTTCAATGACAAGAAGGACACTGGAAACTTTATAACTCCAAAATGTATCTTTTAGATTTCTCATCATTTTTATTGTTTTCTGTAACTTCATGTAAACTTGTTTGTTGGAATAGTAGTGGATTGTATTTATTTACATTTCCTTGCCATGAAAAAAAACAGATGAAAATTTTACTGTTCTAGAGATTGCTTGTTTGAATAAAGGGCTTAATTTCTTGGATAGTGAATTTCATACAAAAATAATTTACTCTTTGTTTACCTTGGGAAATGACTATATATTGATTATTTACATTATATAAATCATGTCATGCTTACTTATATGTAAAGCATTATTTTACATTATGTTATATATGATATAATTAAAATAATTATCAATTATATCTTGATTTGTAATATGAAATCAAATTTATATTTAATTAAGGACCTCTAAAATAATTCTGGAAAATAATTAATTAAATTTCAGGGTTTTTTTGACCATTACACTTTCTATATGATTGGAACAGTAGAAATAAGCATATTTATTATAGAAGAAATAAAGTAGTTAATACTATTTACTTATGACGTTAACTGAAATCTATGACAAAATAATTTCACATAACTCAATTTATTTAGTACAATATCAGTATCTAATAAAACAGAGGCTGAAAGATTTTTTTTTTTAATCTCTACTTTGCTACAACCTGGTTAATTTCTTTGTTTTCAGTTCCCCTAAACACACTCCTCCATAATCACTCTTGGGAAATGAAATAAAGACCAGTTAATATAATCTCTTCAGAAGTCTGTTGGCACCGTAGCAGTACATCATAAGTTCACAAGCTTGTACCACACTACATGATTTTATTATTATTTTTATACATTTCTGCTGAAGAAACATTTTAAAATTGTTAATAAGTTGAATATAAATATAATGTGCAAATACTCTGATACCTTTTTGTATTTCAATATACAATACAGTGCTACAACTTGTGCCTGACATCAGACAAATGTGGGCAGGCTAGAAAGGTACTTTATAACTTCGTTATGTGCAATTGCACTTTTAATTTTTCCTTTCATTTTTTCAAACTGAAGTTCACAATGCAATTTTAATAGCCCTAAGTTCCTCCAAAGAGCTACTGTGTGTTGTATAAAGGCTATGTAATCCCTGCAGTGTCAGGGGGTTAGTGTTCAGCTGTTCAGGATCAGGAGATGATATCTCAGCACTCATAAAACAGAGGATTCAAAACACAGAGGCATACATAGAAGTACAGATCATTATGACAGTTCTGGAAGTCATCCACAAGAAACGTCAACACCCTAGAGGCCAAAATAACACTACTGAATCAACATTTACGGCTTTTGTTCAAAATTATAACCAATATATAGGGAAGATTCACACTGAACCATTAATGCTAGTATAATAATAATTTTACATTTGGCTTGTTCCAAATATGGAGAACTTCAAAACCCTATGGGATATCTTCTCTTAAACATTTTAAATGAACAATATTTATTCTGTACAAAACAAGTGACTATGCTGAATTAGCAGTTTCCTAGAACTGTCTGTAAAATGGTCAATTCAGGTAGTAAGGCAGTAAGGGAAGCATGAAGATTTCTTTAGGATTGCATATTTCAATTCAGAAGCATGAGGGGGTAGTTTTGGCCCCTGGGGTTGAAAAATATCTTCTTGTTGTAATCGTTGATCTGAATATTTACATGGTAGTTTCTTCCCATTCAAGCTCAACATCACCTATAACATAAAGTAGCATGTCACAAGAGAGTACTGAAGTTAACAGTTCAAAAGATTAAAATGTTTCATGGCAAAAAGACGATCCAGATGAAAAGGCATTTATCTCACAATGAATGAGAGAGAAATGAAGAAACTGATGTGCACTAAGCTAGTTTTGAAGTATTTTAAACTTATGGTTATTATAATATCAGTGCTCCTCTTATAGGCAGTAAACTAGCAAATTTGGTACACCCTGACTCTGTTTACCTTCCATGGCATCCAAAGAATCCATTTTCTGAAGTGCAGAATAGTTAACAAAACAGATAGGTTGATTGCTTCCTTTATTTGATAAAAGATCCAGAATGCACTGGTGTAAGAAGATATACTGTGCCTAGAAACAAAAGGAAGAATGATTAAATGAAGGACGGGGTGGGACTATTTCTTATAATAGAAATTATACTGTTTCAGCAAAAAGCAGTAATGAGTTCAACAAATGTGAAATGGATAAGTTAGAGACAGATTTTATTTCAGTAAATAAACAATTTTCTACAATTTCCAAAATAATATCTTCTAAATCCCTGTGGCTTCTTGTAGCTTTGAGTTTTTTAAAATATTCATCACTAAATACAAAGTGTTAATATATTCTTTCTTGTTGTGATTATAAAAGCAGCAAGTCTTTCTGATTACTTAAATTTGTTTATGAGCCTCCTTTTTCCTGTTAGATCTAATTGAGTAATTTATAAATACTTTTCTTGTCAGAATGCAGAGCTATATTTAATCCTGCAGTTGCGAGTGGGCACATTTATACACCATCAACTCATTTAAAATACATCTAATAATTCTGCTAGTCATCTGGATTTTGGCTTTCTTGATATTAAGTATCTATTCCCCTAAATACCAACTGGTTTGCCATACAAATACCCGAACACCTAGGTGCAGGACATGGACTTCTAACATTTCATCTGAATATATGGGGTAAATTCAGTACCATCCAGATTCATTAGATTTATTCAGTATAATTCAGTAATTTATTAGCATTTCTGAATTTTTACTTCCCCCCAAAGTATTTAAGGTTAAAAACCAAAGATGTATGTTTTAAATCATCCTGATTTGTACATAAGAAGCATACCCAACTGTAAGGAATATCACCAAATGTTTTAAGACATATTTACAAACTGACAATTGATTTAAATAGAACATCCTCAAAAGTGATCATTTTAAGAGGTTATATTCCTATCTATGGCTACAATACCCCCGAACCTTTTTTTTGGAGGGGTGGAACTCCTTTATTGAAACTGTCTTTGAATATTACTGGTCACGATTAGCAATATCTCATTGTTTGTGGATTACAAAACATTCCCACTAACACTTCATCACTAGGAAGTCAGTTCTATGAGAGCAGAACTCTTAGTTGCTGCTGTGTTCCCAATGCCTGTAATAGTGCCTAGCATATAATAGTTGTGTAATAAATGCTTGTTGATTTAGGCTTATTTAATTCTCAAAGCTACCCAATCTTCACCATTTATGGGCAGATGTGATTTGGAGAACATCCAAAAGTGAATGATCAAGTTACAGAATTCAATTTTTGGTAAGAAACGAAGTATTATAAAGCAATAATAATTCTACTGAAATTGCTGGTAAAGTAATTCTAAGAGTTTTTCAAATACACATCACACAGTAAATATAATAGCATTGAGATATATGTTGATGAAATGTGATTTCTTTGAAAATAATTTAAATTGAACAATTCTGGTATTTCTAAAAAACACATTTGAGTTTGAAGTCACATTTGACATCTGAAACTTCTGACTGTCCAGATCTCATCTCCTCCATTGGAGAGAATGATGGGTTAAACTGCCAGCATAGCAAGCCAAGCTCTTACAAGACAGCGCTGCAGGTTCCAAGGTCCCTCTGCCATCCTGTGTTATTGCCAAGGAGGCTGCAGAGTGTCATTGAAAAGTTCAACCCAGTTGCTACCCTTGATAGTCATGTTAACTTAAGAGAAGTTTGACGCTCAATTTCCTTATCTGGAGACGCACAAAACCTATCCTGTGACTTTTAAAGGACTTAAAATGTGTAAAAATGCATGCAAATTGAATTTCAATAATGGTTAATAGTTGGATTGATATGGAGCCCTTGTAAAACCTCTGGACAAGTATCTAACTTTCAGTGCCAACTATGAATAAAAATGCAAAGTTCTTTCCTCAAAAATTAAGACTAAGAAACACACATTAAACCAAATGCAGGGCCCTTTACGGAGTGGGCATCTGTCAAACTACACAGGTTGCATATTCATGAAGCCAGTCCTGGTCACATGTCATATTCTATTTCTGAAACAAACTAGGGAAGAGTGATCCTTTACTCATTTGTTCTTTTTAGCATATAAAGGAATGAACATGGACTATATTACCTAGTTTTACCTATCACAGAATTAAAATGGCTGTGAAAGATTCTTACACAGAGACTTACGTTGAAATCAAATATGTAACATGCAAGACAAAAATAAATGACAAGAATTGGAAGGTCTGGCATCCTTCATACTTCTAGGATAGATTTGTAGCCAAACCATGAGGTAAAAATAACAATGTAATCAGATGTGACAAAAGGCCAGATCTCTTTTTAAAAACTATAAATAATTAAAGATACATATTTATGACTATTATCAGAAATATCTTGACCTGGGTGTATTTCTTTTTGAAAATTCCTAATGATAATATGAAGCCACAGCAATTAGCAAGGTTTTCCAAATATTGCATATTTGATCTTTGGTATGTTTATCAATTATTTATTTTGCATATAGTTCATAATTTACATAATTATACAATATACATTTAAAAAATAAGTATCTGTACTAAAGTTGAATACTCAAACATTTTTTATTTTTCTGAAAAGTTGGATGTCTCTGACCTAGGGCAGCATTTTCCTATAGCATTAATGTCCCATGACATGCATTACAAGTTTAGGATCTAAAAGGGTTGAAGGGTACCACAGTTGACTCTGTATTTGTTATTTTCATGGTATATTAGCCTAAAAGATCTAAGGAATTCTGTACTTAAAAATTAGTTTAATTTATTTCTCACACTCATTTTATCAGGAAGTCTGTTTCCTCACCCCTTTAATAAATTTAATGCCACTTAGTTTTTAGCACATATTTTGGAAAATACTCTGAGAGCAGATCTGTGTATTTACTACAAGAACATCTCTGTATCTGCATAGTATACAAACTTTGATCAGAAGATACAGATAGAAACGTCTCCTATTAAGTTAGACTGGAATGAATTTTGGCTCTGATACTTATTAATAATATTGCATTGGAATATCACTCATGTTCTTGGAACATCTGCTTCCCTATTTTGTAACATAAAGTCAATAATACCTAGTCTATTAATCAGTTTACTGACCCTGATTCACAAATAAAGAATTAAATAAGGATTAAATAAGAAAATAAATGTAAAGGATCTAATATAGCAACTGGAAACTCCTTGACATTCAATAGAGGGTTGTTAGTCTCACTACCATTATACTGTTTTTTAAATTTTTGTACCAGGGATTGAACTCAGGGGCACTCAACTGCTGAGCCACATCCCAAGCCTTTATTTTATTTGTTTTTTTGGTCTTTTATTTACAGACAGAGTCTCACTGAGTTACTTAATATCTCGCTGTTGCTGAGGTTGGCTTTGAACTCATGATCCTCCTGTCTCAGCCTCCAGAGACCACTGGGATTATAGGCATGTGTCACTGCACCCAGATGTATGTTTCCTTAGTGAATAAAAATCTATTTATTTTATAAATATCTTTGCCGTCATACTAAAACAATAAAATATTCCCAGTTAGTTGATTATTTGCTG